TTGCAGAAAATCGTCCATCGTATAGAACCAAGTGTGCTCCTTCTCTTACCGTTCATTTATTATTATGAGACCGACTTCCTACTGGAACTGCTTAGCAAGAATGTTAAGCTTGTTTTTAAATTTCAGTTGCGCTGTATAGATGATTCCTCTTAATATACAATAGTGGCTTAGTGAACAATAGCTTGTATGCAAATTGTCGTAAAAAATCACCGTGGGATCAAAACTGTATCGTATGCCCTTAAGTATAAGGTACCTATAGCGGTATTTTAAATTAAAAAAAAATATAATCAGTCGAAGAGAGGCGAAGGATACCAAAGGGACATTCAAGCTCATAAGTCGAAAAGAAACTGACAAAGCCATGGCTACAAAAATAAAAAGATAAGCAGACAAACAACAGTACACCAAACACATCATAGAAAACCAAAGACTGAGCAACACGAACCCCACCAAAAACTGGGGGTGGTATCAGGTGCTCCGGAATGGTAAGCAGATATTGCTCCACATGTGGCACCCATCGTGTTGCTTATGTTATCGAAATTATGCGGTTCCACAGAAAACGAAAGTATTAGCTTCCAATTAACCAGATAATAATAATTTCTAGTGTTGTCAACGGTTAATCGGTTAACCGGTTAACCGTCGGAAGGACCGAATATCGAATACCAGAAACGCTTACCGGTTAACCGGACCTGATAGATTTGATATAAATGTGTATTGAATGTGCATTAAAACATTTGGTTTAATTCTACAATGATCGTCGTGGTAATTAATTTGAAAGATCAATTGTCCAGTATTTTGATTGCTATTGTTAAACTTGAAAACATAAACAATTAATTAGCACATAGACAACTTGTCTATCAGCTCGGTGCAAGATCTTAAGTAAACACAATCAGCATACAGGTATTTTTAACAGTTGTATTAAGCCAATTAAAATTTAGGATTTACTTCATTATTACATCTTTTATTTAATATTGCGTAGACCTTCATCTACATATGCCACCTCCGTCGTCCAAGGCTTTGTGATACTTCTAAACGAAATGGCGACTCAAAAATGGTGAAATGCAAATCCACGTGAACGGAACTAATGCATAAATTCCAAATGTAATTCCAAAAACATTTATGGCCCCATTTGCAATATAAAAACAGAAGACCTGAACATCGCCCGGGATCGAGAGTTGAAATCATTTCTTCGAAAAGGACCTGAATATCGTCCCGCATCAATCATTTATTGAAACGAGTGTCTAAACATCATCAACGACTCACTCCATACTTACTGTATACATTTTTGTTGTTTAACTTTTGGATTAAACGAGAAAAATCTGACAAAAATCCTTAGATTCTTTTTCATTTCATTAAAAAAACCTTTTTGCTACCTCTTTACGAATGAACCGAATCACACGAAAGTTCAAACTATGTATTGGCCATCGAAGATTCACAAAACACCTTAGAAATAAAGATTTATTTCATCTGCAAGCCATTGCTTCATTACTTAACTGTCTATTATACTTACTAGTACATTTGGTACAATAAAACATTTTGTAATATTTTTTTTCAAATAATTCACATACCTAATCAATGTGCATTTAAAAAGTCAGAACGTAAATATATATGTCCAAACTCTTTTAGTTCATATTTTAGTAATAACAACAAACAAAAGAAATATGTCAATAGGACCTGCTTTGATGTGACAACTGCGCTTGAATTTTTACTAGATAACATATGTGTTCGTTATGGAGATTCCGTATATAGCCAAGTTATTGAAATTCCAAAGAGGACTAACTGTGCAACACTGTTTGCAGACCTGTATTGTTTAGAATCAATGTATGCCTAATACTAACAATGAATACTGCCCTTTTCTGGATGTTGATATCTATATCTTTAACTGGAAGCTTAATACTAAAATTTACGGAATTAGATAATTATTTTCATTTACTATTTTTAATTATCTGATTTAAGATGTTGACGTTCCCTTGGCACCATCGTATGGTGTTTATCTATGTATTTCTAAAAAAATATTTCACTACAATACACTCACGAAGGGTTATTGACATCACAAACTTGTCAAAACTTTTACTAAATTTTATCATCGGTACAAGGACATTATTCGGAAATATAAATCAACGCGCAGACATCTTATACGTTCAGGTATTTCACATCCCGATTTTATTGTAATATTCTAGGCAAAGAATAAAAATGTCGTCATTCACCTCAACAGGTTAACCAAACCTTTCAATAGACTTATTCACAAGAGATTTAGTTACGATACTGTGAAGTCACTAAATATGGCATTTTTGGAATTAATATTGATTCACTCATAGGGTCTCTGGTTCGGAAATAAAAACATTTATTCTAAAACCAGTTGTTGGCATGATACGGGGGATGTTCTTCTCGTATAATTTACGATGACATGACACTAAAGGGAAGGGTTAAGATTGATTTTCATATGATGAAGACATAATCTTTCGATATCCTTGGCATCTCAATTTTTATGTTAGTTTAGTCATTATGACATCAGGAATGCTCTGATGAAGCTGTTATACGTAACCAGTCTTGCCGTTGGGTTTTTCGATTGAATTATTTCACATTTTGTCATATCGGACCCTTTAATAGGTATAATATTGCATTGGTTTTTAAGATTGTTAAAGGTCAAACGGTGACCTATAGTTGTTTACATCGAAGTAATTTGTTCCTGGTGGATAGTTGTATCAGTGGCAATCATACGACATCTTCTTATTTTTATGTTGTCATCTTTGCTATTTTTTTTTTATAGAGAGAAATCGGTCGCAATGGTTAAGCAATTAAGGTGTCCCAGAACTGAAAATAAATCTACATTATTCAGCTCATAAAATTAACAACAGAACTCTATTCTAACATTATATAGAATTTCATTTTAAAGACTTTTACATTTTTCAAGTGAAAGCAATATAATTAAATCTATTATCCTTGTACTTGTATATTCAACAACGTTATAGGTTTAAATCATTTAAATGATCATGTTTGTTCATTTGTTCAAAAACAATAACCAAACTTGAAAAATGTCGTACACAGCCGTTGTATGTTTCATGTTATTACATATAGGATACAAAATTTGCATTTACAAATATAATAGCTATATACGGTGACATTTATCTGCATAGCTTCTTTTATGAAAAAATCCAATGTCTACATTTTGTCATTCTTTGTTATTCAAAAACACTGAACCAAATCATGACCAACTGGACCAAACTATGACAAAATCACTGTACTAAACGCTCCTCGATATGGCATTACTACCCGTGATCTCTTTCAGTGTGAAAACTGATAAACCTATGTTTTTGTAAATTTTAGATGTTAATCAATTTTTTATTTATAATATTTTGCCGCTATAAAATGTTTTGGTAAATTTGATATGTTAATCAAATTATGAATCATACTATTTTATTTTAACATTTACTGTCGGAAATTCAATTAGGGTATTTTTTCCTGTTCAGTGTAATCCGGTGTCAAGTCCGATATAGGTCAAATAAACGTGCTAAAAAGATACAATACTCATATTTTGTCCACCAGACTCGCTATCCGTTAGCTACCATTACATTTATTATTGCATGTACTAAGATCTCTGCTACTTGATATATTTACATTAAAGGGAATAATAAAAAGGTATATTTTCAAACAGATACATTCTTATCGTAAGTACTATATAACAAGTATTCTCTTTAAAACATATCCGACGCCTTCAGATGGTAATAAATCAAAGCATAATTTTTTGTCATGTTTAAATGCATGTAAAATTAAGACAAAATAAGATATATTCAATGTAACCCGTAACAATTTGAATAATACACGGTTTTAGAACAGAGAAGAAATGTCAATTATAACCATACAGTAAATAAGTAAGTATATTGATATTATAGTGAAATATATATTGTAAATCAAACAATATCATTTTCACATTAAAATATTAAAACACCGGCACATTGTACCTATATGTCACTTAATCTAAATTAGAATAACAAAATAGATTCAGAAAATTAAGCAGTAAAGTAATATAGTTATGGGTTGTTATAAAGGAATTCTCGTCGTTTTCTAAAAGCTTGAAAGAGAGGCAAAAGACACCAAAGGGACATTGAAACTCAAAAGTCGAAAATTAACTGACAAAGCCATGGCAAAACAGAAAATACAAACAACAGTATACAAAACACAACATAGTAACTAAAGACTGAGCAGCATAAACCCCACTTACAACTGGGGTGACCTCAGGTGCTCCGGAAGGGTAAGCATATCCTGATCCACATGTGACACCCGTCGTGCTAACTCATGTAAGTACAAAACCCGGTGATAAGTCTAATTCGTTGAAACAGAGGACGGGATTGTGGTTACGACTATAGGAACATAACCGTCGTCATCTGTGAAAGAGATATTCTATAACAGTCAATCAACTTGTGATGGCGTCCGTATAATTTTTGAAGGGATTATTTCAACTTCACCACTTCACCACTTGGAACACTTGGTTTAATTGCCTCCTTGTGAGCAGCAAATTTCTATCAAGAAAATCTTCTTAGATAACGCTAGTCCTGGAATATCTTATCAACTAGGAAATATATACTCCATATGCTACAAAGAAATGGAAAGTTCACCCATGGAAATTTGAAATCATATCTTTTGTCGTAAATTCTTGTTGTCAACCACTTTCATTGTCAATTTCTAGATGTAATCAAGATATTAATTGTATTAAATGTAACATAGAAATAGTTGTACTGTTACTTTTGATAACTTTGGCTACTTTTTCTCACATCAGATTATAATTTACTACCTTATAATCCCTAGATTTGCATTATTTGTGAGGTGACGTCAGTTTTGATCCAGTTTTCTATAATTTATGACAGTTTTTAGCATAATTTATTCCAGACGCAACCCCTGATCCAGAATTATTATTATTATTATATATTTGTCCAGGGATTCAATATAAAATCTTGGTTAAAGAACATTTCTAGATCATATTATAAATTTTTCAAATCAGAAAAATGACAAAATCATCAAATTTGGACAAATCTCCAAAATGTGCTGACTTTGGAGCCTGTAACGTACTATTAAAACATTAAAACTTTTGAAAGTAATCCTTTTAAGAATCCAATTGCTGCCGCTTTGATAGTTTATGACCTGCTAGTAAAATTGAGAATGGAAATGGGGAATGTGTCAAAGAGACAACAACCCGACCAAAGAGCAGAAAACAGCCCAAGGCCACCAATGGGTCCTCAACACAGCCAGAAAATCCCGCAACCCGGAGGCGGGCTTCAGCTGGCCCCTAAACTAAAATGTGTACTAGTTCAGTGAAAATGTGCCTTTCAAGGCATCTGTGTATTATGTCCTTACGTCATATATGCGTTGTTTGTCTATTCATGAATATTTCACCGAAAATGATTTTAATTATAGTATTATTCTCTAGATATCTTCTTTCTTTTTGGGGGCTCATCGATTATGTGTATCTATCTTAGTTCCATTTAAAAAAGCAGTAATACTACGCCGTTTTGTGACAACTTTATGTAATGTCAAGAGTTCAATATGTCACCAAACCTTACAATCGGAATACGAGGACGCTTTACTAAATTTTCCGTTAGGTTATCAGATGAACCCCTTATCGAACTAGTTGTGAGCTTTTCTTTGTTATGCTTTTGTGAAAACGTTTTTTCATGATTATCTTAAAAGTGCTTATGGTGCCTTTTTCAAACACTTATCTTACTGATTGTAATGGTAATAAAATAATGACTATGATAATTCGTAGATAAAAAATTCTGTTTTATTGTTGTAGTTATGGGTTGTATGAATCTTTGTACGTTGGTAGATTCCTTTGCAAGAGTAAAAAAGAAAATATTTCCCCATGGATACAGAATCGAGCTTAAGGAATTACTACAGTTAGCCTGGCCGATTGTAAGTAAAGAAATAAGAAACTCGCATTTGGTGGAGTACACCCCTCAAATCGTGATTATTTGTCTAATAAAAACGTTTCATTGATTGACTTATGGGTAAAAGTCAACAATTCAAATTATAATAATTAATGACAGCAGAACATATATTTCAATCGGAAGAAAGGAGGGTAGTTTTGAAAACTATAGGAAAACTTATGCGTATGATATGTAGCAAAAAGTATAAAAAAATACCGAAATTCAAGGTAAATTCAAAAAGGGGACGTCCATAAAAACTGACAAAATCAAACATTGGGCTTTATCAACCAATGCCTCGATCCATAATGGATCGAATGAACAACTGTCATATTCCTGACTTGGTACAGGTTTTTTCCGAAATAAATGATGGATTAAACCTGGTTTAATAGCTAGCTAATCCTCCCTCTTCTATGGCAGTTGTTTATAGTTCTGTGATGTTGACACAATTAAGTGAACTTTCAACAACACAAATGACAAAAATTAAAACAAACGTATAAATAAATCAAACAAAGACGCCAACAAAAAGGTATGTTGGAGTGGATAATAAATTGAATAAAAACGCAAAAAAAAAGAAGAAAAACTAGATGCAAAAATAAAAAGTTTTTGTACTTGATAGTAAATTTGACAGTGTCCATCAAAAAAGAAATGATAAATTGATTAATTAATTAAGTCCTTGTCATCCAGTGGAACATATTCAGCAGTAAAAACTTGATTCTAATCATAATTGAATGCTGTTTTACTGCACGTTGTTTTAATACGCGAATAACAATCCGATAAGTGATACATGAGCTCAATTTCGATTTAAACATTGATTATTCACCTAGGCCAGCATATACCAAGTGCTCTTTATGAAGTTGTGTTTTTCTTTTCAGACAATAGAGACCCTTTTACAGTACTTAATACTATCTGTAAGTTTGTTGTTTTGTGGTCATCTTGGAAAAGAAGCATTAGATGGAGTTCAGTTAGCTATCACAGTAAGAATATACTTTTAACAATTAATATATATGACAAACATTTTTGGAAAAATATCTCAGTAAAAAGGTTGACTTCTATATGATATGTCATTTGAGCACTTTTGGGAAAATCGGGAATCAATCCCTCAATCATCCGTTTTCCTTTGAGTTCGGTATTTTTGTTATTTCACTTTTGTAAGTTTTCTTATATTCAATTTTAGTCGTTCATTTTTACAACTATGTTTAATCAAATCCACTTTTAAAAGAAGGCATAAGAATGTTTTTAAACAAATCTAACTTGTATATCATGTGCCAAACAAATTGCTAATCAATAATAATGACATAAAGACTGTGAGTACAACAATCGTCTGATAGGAATATTAAAATGTTGAAAATTTAAAGGAGTAAAGCTTCGTATCTTTATAGAGCACCGGATTTATTCCTAGGGTTTTTGTGGAATTGATGTTGTTTAGTTTTTAGTCAAATATTGTTTCTCTTTTTCTTGTTTTCCTCTCAATCATGAAGTCATTTCAAATCTATTAAACCGGAAGCCTACAAAATGCTAGTAAACGATTCCATTATTACACGTGCCTTGCACTCAAGCGAAAATCCCCAAGATTTAATCTAAGCATACAAGCTCTTATAAGATATCTTATGATTTGGACATGCAAGTATATACTGTTTCTCATACATACTTAATTACCCCCGTTATTTGTTTTAACATTTATGCTGTTATTTACAAACCAACAACTATTACTCTCAACGCTTCTAGCTGGCGTTACAGAGTAGTACTTTTAGCCTTACCCCGTAGAACTTTTAGCCTTACAGAGTAGTACTTTCAGCGTTGCAGAGTAGTACTTTCAGCGTTACAGAGTAGTACTGTAACGGTACAGAGTAGTACTTTAGTCGCAGAGTAGTACTTAAGGGCCATAAAGTAGTACTTGAGCGTTACAGAGTAGTACTTTCAGCGTTAAAGAGTAGTACTTTAGCGCTACTGAATAGTACTTTTAGCGTTACAAAGTAGTACTTTTAGCGTTACATAGTAGTACGTTAGCGTTACAGAGTAGCACTTTAGCGTTACAGAATAGTACTTTAAGCGTTACAGAGTAGTATTTTCAGCGTTAAAGAGTAGTACTTTCATTGCGTTTTCTAAATTGTAGACTATAAATGTAATTGGTTCATCTGTGATCATTGGTCTGTCTACCGCATTCGATACTTTATTCTCACAGGTATGTTTGATCATAAATAATTAAATTGTTTCCTTGTTCATAGTTTTTTTCTGTCGTAGTGAAAATTAAATGTGATTTTTTTTATGTAGAAAATATTATGAAATCAAATAAGTTTGAACCGTTAGTCTGACGATTGATTTTGTTGCTTGGATACATATATATTCAGTATCTTGCGGGTTACATGTCAACCATATTTAAAACGAGAACATTCCAAATTCGAGACGAGACCATAACATATTCAAGACGGGAACATACCATATTCCAGAAGACAACATACCATATTCGAGACAACAATATGGGAATGTGATGCGAACCTGACCTTGTTATGTTCGACATCGGATTTCTTAAAAGATTGATCATACAGGATTACAGTACTTAAAAAAGCATACCATTATAAAACATAACAGATTTCTTACTTTAAGCCGAGCAGTCGAAACCCTTGTTATGTAAAAATGCAGAAAGGACAGATTGGGAAAATAAAGTGAAAATTGTTTTATTTAATTAGATCCAACTGGGAATCAGTCAACTAATTTATAGAATCAGGCTAACACGAAACGTCTCACGGGGAAGATATTATTTGATCGCCACATATCAAATTTAGTGTTAGTGACACGTGATGTGGTAACATATCTTCTGTTACGATAAAACATAAGACCTTCAGAACCAAAAAACACAGAAAACGGAAAGATCAACACAACTAATCCCTAGAAATGAAAAAAACAAAACACCACACATATATTTTTCCATTCTTGCACTGAATAGATCGTCTGATTATCGAGTAATGATTTTCTGTCTGCGATAACGGAATAAAACAATTTTTTTTCTTGCAGACATTTGGAAGTAACAACACGAATAATGTTGGTCTCATTCTACAACGAGGCAAGTTTACCGTGATTGAGAGAACTAAATATTGTGAATTGTAGTTTATGTATCTACATTGTGGCTGTTCGTTCGTCAATTTGTTTTAGCTAGTTTTGTGTATGTAGACAAGCGTATTGAAAACTCTTACTCTTTTTATTTTATTGTTTATTTAAAAAATGAAACTTCTACTTCAAAGGATTATTTCTAGAATGTGCATCAATCTTTCTCCATATTCTTTTTTATGAAAAGATCAGTAATTTTCTTTTTCTGTGTCAAGTGAAGGATTAATCATTGCTTTTCATAAGAATAGTGCAGGTTATTTAGGTCGTTCCTATTCTAGGTCTGTTGGATAATGAGGGATCAATTATTACGAATCAATGATTGCGGGTAATGAGGACGTTAAATATGATGCCACGCTCTTAAAATATTAGAAAACAGTTGCAACAACTATTTAAGGTCGAAGGTGGCATGTTAAAAGGTGAATGTTTGAGCTTGTACTTTTGCCATTTGATTGGTGACTTTCCGGTTTTGGTTTTTCTTGGTGTTCGGTATTTTTGTTGTTTTACTTTTTTACATACATGATACCTTCATGGCAACTACTCTCTGTGTAAAATATTTTCTAAAATATCCAATGTTACTCACTTTATGGAGCACCATCTATATATAGCTATTTAAAGTCAAAATCAATCTGAAAATTAGCCATTTCAACAGTTTTAAGCTGACAAATACCAGTGTTATCAACATATAACTGTTTTATTGGTAATAATATGTTTTAATACTGTATTTCAACAGTCAAAATATGTTAATACCTGAAGTTTTGGTCTAAATATCCGAAGTTTTACGAAACTGCTAAAATTGTGAAATTTTTCTATTTTTTAAAAGTCTATATTTTCAAAAGTGGCAAACATATTTTAATGTCATTTATTTTTTCTTAAACCCTAATCATATATCTATAAAATATAAAAAAATCCAATTTCGGCAAATGATCATAGTACTCAAATTTTTAGTTAGAAAAGAATTGTTGTTCAGCAGGTGTAGCCTATATTAATGATATTTCTCTTATTTGGACCCGTCAATAATCCCTCTCTGGGGCCCCAACCTTGTAGGATAAAAATACATGATGCACAACTTAAATATTTAATTAGTATCTCATACAACTTTCACAGTAAACCCTTTAGTGGTTGTGGAGGAGTTGCGAACAGAAGGTACAAATGTAGTTGCACTACACCACTACTGATTTTCTCCTGATTTTTGGTCCAAATATTCCCCCATAAACCCGCAATAGATAAAAAAAAAAAAAAAAAAAATGGTGCACAATTTCACAACCCTCACAAGACATATCATTAGTTAGGTTTAAATCTATTTTGTACTTTAATAGGACTTAAGGATTGTAGATATATTACAAACAAACAGACGGACAGACAGAGACAGACAGACCGTCATTATGAATATTATATATCCCCAGCTATCACTAGCATGGGTATAATAAGTCTCTTCACAAACAAGGCAAATGGATCCAGGACAGCCAATAATTACAGGTCAAACTAGACCTTCTGGCCTGTTAAATAATTTGTTTAAAGAAGAATGCTGAGTGAATATGGTTGGTTTACTATTGTGGATACTCGTATCAATATTTCCAATGGGATAAGACATGTGGAGAAAATTTATCAAATCACCAATAACTATATCTGAATTATAAAAGAGGGATATGTTGTATAGATTCATGACACAAAATCTTTATATTTACTTGATTAAATCTCAGCAAATTAATAGAGCTTTTGCTGCTGTTCTTCATCTAAAAGTCAATGTGATGCTTTCATGTACATAGCATAACATGTTTCAATCATTTTCATTTTATATTAATTTAGAATACATATATCTAGGCAATTGATACTGGAAAGTAAAACACTAATACAATGACGGTGGCATTTTGTTGTAGTTACCGGTACACTGTACTGTTTTTGCAACCAGAATGAATGTAAAGTTGAAATGTCTATGCTATCTGTATAATAATATATGTTGCCATGTCTGCAGAAACAGCATGTACCGGTATGTCATCACTTGACATTCTGCCAAGGTGTTTTACAAATCTTCGTCATCAACTACATTCAAATTCTCTCGATCCAAGTTTGACAAATTTGGCAAATACACTCCAAACTTGAGATATGGTAACCACTCATCAGAGTTAAACTTCTTTGTTTCATCATCGTTTCTAAATTATTAAAGGTTTGATAAAAAATTGGTCTTTTTTCTGTAGCATTGCATTGTACGTATATATCATGTAAACATTCCTTAACCATACTACTAAAACATTTAAATGGCTTATAGAATTCGTAAAAGATCATCCTTCTGCAATATTCAAATTAGCTATCAAAACTGATAATAGCAAAATCTTTGTGCACCTGAAAATAGGCTACACATGTCACATTCAAGAGAAGTTTCATTTTGTAATAACTGTTTTCTTTGTTGGCATATATATACATGCTTGTCTATGCATATATGATATTCTATGAAGTGATGTTTTTGTTTAAACCTTTAAGCAATTTCGCTCTGGACAAGCAAAGAATGGATCAGCATCTGAATTATCAGCAGTGTCGGCTATTACATTTGCTCTATGAAAATAGTCAGTTTCTGCTGTTTCATTATATCCCCCATCTAATTTGTCTTCGTTATAAGTGTAATTAACAGATCCTAGTAAGAAAGTTTCTTCTTAATAAATGGTATTTGTACCTACAAAAAAAGTAACCATATTATCATAATATATGGAACTGATTAAGCATAACGTAGGCAAATATTGATAAAATGATCAAAGAATAGTGTTCTAGCTTAATACAAAGTTTTTCGTTTCTCAAAAATGACCCGAGAAATATTGTTGTCTCAAATAGACTAGACATTTTACTGACACTGCTTTTTTGTTAAGAACAATACAAGGGTAACTACTAGTGGAGCACGATAAGCTTACCCTCCCCAAGTACTTGAGTACCTTCTCTCAATATAGTTTTTTATGGAGTTTGTATTGATAACTTCAAACTATGATTCTTATTCTTATGCAATTCATTTGAAATGTGAGTAAATGCCCTGTACGCATTTTTAATTTTTCTACATTTTTAAAGTGTGGTTTTTACCTTAATTTTTTTTATGGGTTGGAAAAACTGGCAAAAATTCCAAAAAGGGGGAAAAGGGGGTGGGGGTGGGGGGTCGGGTAATAGGAAACACAAATCATGGATCTGCTCAAGATTTGTTGTTTTTCTTTGACGATTCTATACTAATGTACAGTTTAACATGCTACTGCTTTCGAGAAAGTCTCCATGCTTACAATAGCAATTGGTTATAATTTTATCTGATCATTCATAAAAATATACAGATATGTGATAACCCATATCAAATTCATGAATGTGTGTCAGTTAATTTTAACAAGCAAATTCCACAGTACTGACCTGGACCTGAAATAACTATAGATAAAAATCATCAAAAATTTGGTCCACCAAGACGATCATATTTTCATTGATTGGTATAAAATCCTATTTAGACGAATCAAGGTTTCTTCCTTTATCAGTTAATGTTTCTAAAAGTTGGTACAAGTAGGAGAAACAGGGGAAACAAATCTTAGTTCATATTCTGTGGAAAATGTAATTAAAAATCATAAAACTTGATATGAGCAAATTTTTACAGATCATTGTGATGTGAGGCTGGTCCTGGATACTTCGTACACATGATATATGTAGTAAAAAAATTGCAAAAAGAAACAATGAGAGGAAGCAATAAAAATCTATAAATTGAAAATTGAAAAAAAAAGAAAATGTATAAGACAAATATATTTCTGTATGGATTATATTAATACCAATATCAATCGGGTGGGAAATAATTTAAAGAACTTTTTACCATAATTTTGTTGAAAACAAATTATTTGTTGCAGAAAGTTTATAAGAAAATAAGTAATTTCTTTGCCTAAGATTTAAGATCATTTCCCCTTACATGAAAACATTTTATTTAAATCAGCCTATGGCAAAAATAAATGATTTACAGAAACATTGAAAAATTAATATTTGATCCAAAAATCGTCCAAGCTCAATAACACACCCCTTTTTTCCCCCAAAAAAAATCAAATGGTCCTTAGTGATCTATCTATCTGTATACGTATGGAGAGAGGGTGTATTTTTACTTGTTGCTATGTTGATGACCTCTCTCTTGTCTCCATCTAATAGGCCTTGTAGACTATCGGAGAAGCACACCTGTCTACTCAGACTACTGTTGCCTTGCTGGAAGCTGGATGTTCTAGGTAGCAACATTTCAGTTAACTTCAGCTTCCTCTCCGATAAATGCCAGAAATAGTCTCTGTGCTGCTGGCATATATTTGACTGAAGCAATTTAGTATCAATATTAAAATATGAAAATAAGTAAACTTTTTTGGTTCACTTTGACTTCTTTCCAGACACTGCAGTCGAATCAAATGTATATGTGTGTTCTTATTTCATTGTGAAATAGGAATTGTGAGTGTGTCATAGTCATAATTTGAATATTTTCCCCAAGAAATACCAGAAAATATGAGTAGTCACTTTTTTTGTTCTCATTCTCGATGACAGACAACTTATGGTAACATTATGTTTTCATAACGGCGAGTGTAAATCAGGGGAGATAACGCATAGAACACCTGTGAATGGTTTTTTTCCCAATTTCAGAGATTTTAAGGTCATTATACATAAAAATAATGACATTATGTATGTAAAATGTGTCGTGCAGTAACTTTGTGTAATTCAGATCGTAAGTGATCATAGCTTAGGGTTAATGGGTTCTAATTAGAATTTGCAAAATTCAGAAAAATTTCAAAAATATAAAAATATTTTGAAAGTTCCGACATGCCATTTGGACAACATTTTGGATTTTGTATGGTTTCCTGGTAGACTGGCTCTTGATTTGTTCCTCTGAATATGAATGGATTAATCTCCAGAAATTATTTTGCACTAAGACAAGTCTTTTTAATTATTTAAAAATTTCTGTGTATCACAATTTTTAAAGTGAGTGTGAAACGTGATTTTATCAACAATGGTCGTAATTTTGAATATGTTACAAAATTTTCATAAAAAACATCAAAATGATACGTTTAAGTGTTTTTAGTTTTCTGAATTAAAAACATATATTCCAAATCAAAATCAAAGTTTTATTGTTACCGAAGCTAATTAATTTAGGTTTAAAATTCCCATCGACGCAAGATGAAGCAATACATGTACTTTTTTCAAAGTGTTTTATGTTGTCACAAAAACAATTAATACTATTTTCGGTACTTACACAATTGTTGCTGTCATAAATATGACTTTGAGCGTTCCTGATGACGGCCAATCAAGATATGGCCGTCAGACGCATACTATTTATAAAGTTCTTTTTTAAGAGCAATTATTTTTTTTTATATTTAAAAATTCTAAATATGATCTTGATTCCACTGAATATTTTCAATACTAAATGTAATTAAACTTACCGCTTCAAAGTTTAACATATTGTATGATATGTAACGATTGCATACAAAGTGTTTACACATTGTCAAATTCACATGGGGAACTTAATAAAAATTACAATGCTGTTCCTATATTTAAAGAACACTATTCAAATAGGAAAAAATTAGTGCAATATATTTTTTACATGAGTTTTCAAAACATCCAAGTAACTACTGCAGAACCACATGCAATTTGGTACTATTTTTTAGCAGGAATTCTTATCATGCTCTTGGCCTGCATACCAATATTTGCAGTCTTTGTAAATACAGAATATATACTGATCCTAGTCGGCCAAAATCATGAAGTAGCGAGGTATGTATAGGCGTTTCACTTTACCTATAGTGATATAATTTGGAAACAACAAAGGTTTGTCCCACAATACATGGAAAATGAAGATATACGTAAGAGGAAACAGTATTTGTTTTCTCAAATCTCATAAGTTCATTAAAAAGATACAAACTAAGGTAAAAACAAAAATTTGGGCTATTGCATGAACTCAAAACGGAGCGCGACCGGATGCGTCGACATGGTAAGCTATTCGTGCAATTTATACACAACCCGTCATGCGAGTTCATATTCAGTCAAAATGTTTACAATTGGAAATAAAACTCAGTCTGTAAAATAATATATCAGATGTTATCTAATGATCAAAGATAGCGAAAAAATGCCGACAATGAGTTTTAACTTTTAAAAAACTCCAAAACATCGTATCTATCATCTAATTCGTGATGGTGCCCGTAAAATGTATATATTGTCGGCTTCAGTAGTTTTTTCTCAACTATGAACATTTTAAGTTCATATAAGAAGCACACCCCTGTTAATGGGTTCCGTACAGTGTGAACATGAATGAGCGTTACGTTTTATTTAAGATATGTAAACGCAACATGATTGGGAAAATAGTATGTTGCTGCTGCGAAATGGGAAACTGACATTTAAACAGTTTAAATCTTTCACATTTGTCATAGATTTTATTTTGAAATTGTTCATTTGTGAGAGAAAAAAAAAATGGTAGATACAGACAAAACTTGACAAACACGAAATTAAATGGATATAACCTTCCTTGACACATTTGCCTGTCGGAATTTAAACCTTTGCAAAGGTACTTATTTAGAAGACGTTTATCCAAAAGGATGTTATAAATTCCTTACCTTATTTTTCAGACTAAGTGGTCAGTACGTAATCATAGTTATTGCGGGATTTCCGGTAAGTCAATAAATCAATATGAATGTATCTAATTTTACTGGATTACCTATTTCACTGTTATTACCAATTCAACAAGGGAACTCTTTATATGTATTTCGGTTGCAGATTTATTTTTCTTCTATATTCGCAAGTGAGCAAACCTGAGCATTATTCCAGAATTATGAAAAAAAAAAAAAAAAATGGGAGCTGGATTTGTCTTCGATGATGATATTCGAATATTCGAATATTAGTAGTGATATTAGTTGCTAGAATAGAAGATTGTAAGAAAAACGTGAACAGAAAATATAACTTTAATTCAATCATATGGCTTCGGGCCTAACCAAACACGTGGAAAAAAAATTAGACTAGCTTTAAGTAGTACTTGCTCAATGGGAGATCAAGTCATATTTACAGCATATAATTATCAAATGATATGGAAAATTATATTGCAACTATGTTTTACCACGTAATGTTCAGAATTTGTTTGGTAAAAATAAACGATACTTCCTTTCTAATGCTTATAACTTGACCCCCCTCCCCCCCAAAAAAAAACCAATAAAAAAATATGCATGCATAATTACTGTTGAAAAACAAATATTCGTCTCGCCATTAAGGTGATATAACAAAGTACGTCGTTTAACTTTTACGGTTTGAATAAAGTTATAAAATAAGTTTTCTTGATGATATGTTGACGATACTCTTTGTTTGAGAACAAATACACAAATACTAAAAGATACAATATCGTTTGTGTTTGTAAAAGTTTATACCAATGTCAGTGATTCCGTTATTGCGGTAAAATGCCATGTGATTGTAACTAATAACTGACGATCATTTCTTGTCGACCAGTATAGTTTTCATATTACTTTGTTTGTCATTTATGTTTTTTCGCATCTGACCGTATTAGGCTCCAAACATCTGAAATTAAAGCATATGAAAGGGAAATGTAAATTAAGAGGACAAAACAAAACGAGACAGGTGTATTGGCGAACTCAAAAATATATCTATCTTTTTATATTTAAACACCATTGGTGATCGATCAAATCTATGTTGCATCAAATCGTGTTAAAGTCGCCTTTTCTGAATTTAGTGTGGCATGACGATAATTACCACTTTTTTAAAGTTTGTTTTATTATATCAGCTTTAACACTACATATAATTGTGAATCTGAATGTAAAAATCAATTTTGGTTACAAAATGAATGCCAAATAAGGCCCATTTAGCACCATAAACTACGATAAAAGAACCCAAAGTATTTAATAAACAGCCATTTTACAATAACAACAACGAACATTTCAGTGCTGAAAACTGATGAGACTTAATTCAGCAATGTATAATTTTTATGTTATTTTAGATCTACAAATATTTGAAATGTAGTGGTTTTTACAAACCGAAATTAAACTAACTGTTGTTTTTTTCAGGGATGTGTGATAACATTTGTTCTCATGAAATATTTACAGTGTCAGGTGAGATATTCATGTTCATATGATCACCAATTAGGATCACATCTCGGATGTGGTGCCACCTTATTTTGTACAACTTTTTTTGAATTTCGGTTTTTAATACTCTATAACTTCGTATCTGATGTAGCCTTCTTACTCTTCGGATTCAGGAAATGATTCAAATAGATATTAAAGACTGATTTAAACTGTCTATTGTAATAATGTATAGACATACTAACAATTTCCAAACTAATTCAAACGTTAACCATTTATTGTTTTTGAACGAAAATTCATTATTTCATTACCGGCTATCGGTACGACAGATATATTAGTAGTATTGTTCCCGATTTCTATTTAAAACAATTGATGTGTCTATCGTGGATAGCATATTTTGCCTGCATTTCAGATTGCCATTGCAGTACAATGCAGTTTACAATCGTGTACAACAGATTTTGTCTGTGTTGCAAACTGCATCTTCCGTATCAATATTTGTAATGATGATATGATTGATGAAACCACATTCCTTTACCCCAATTTTAATGGCTATTCTTGATGTTCAAAGCACTTCATTTTATGTCTTTATCCCTATAAACAAAAATGTTAGCATACAATAAAAGGAGAATTACATTTTTAATTTGTTTCTTTAAGAAATTAACAATATTTTCGTTTTTTGCAGAATATTGTTATCCCTGGAGTTATTTTACAGTTAGTCGCAAATGTTTTCAATGTAGTATATCATTTAATTTTGGTAACTAGATTAGACCTAGGGGTCAGGTAAGTAACTGTCATTTCTCTATATTTTATCCCCTTTATTTCATTTAAAATGATTTGGCAACCTTGCCCTGAAAAAGGAAAATATATATTTCAATTACGGAAAAGATATCGTATCCGGTTATATACAGTCGTTGTAAATATGAATTAAACCGTTACTTTGCAAACTGCAAATGATTTAACAAGAACATATGAAAGAATTGGACATGTTTTTTTTTTTATCGAAAGCAAGCTTGAACCTTGACGAGAGGCAAAATATACCAAAGGGACATTCAAACTCAAAGTCGACAACAAACGGTAGGACAAGAAACGAAAAACGACCAAAAGACAAAGAACAGTATGCAAAAAACAACATAGAAAACTAAAGACTGAGCAACTACACCAAAATTCGGGGGTGATCTAAGGTGCTCCGGGAGAGTAAGCAGATCCTGCTCCACATGTGATGAACCCATTTAAAATCACGAGAGTGAACCAAATACATGAAATATTTTATTTAAGTTTAAATATTCTTTATATTGTCTTTTTAATCCAAAAATCGTACAGTTGTCATATAAATTCTTTAATGGTAACAACATTTATATATGACATATTCAACGCACTATCATGTTTGTTTTGCTGAATTTGTCATAACATAATAACCGTTATTTTATAAACTTCCATGCCTCGACATTTGATAATGCCATTAATGGGTATGCCTATGAAATTGCATGACTGGCATTGCATATCAGCTTTGATTATGATTGGGAGGACAAAGCAGAAAATTACGTAATATCTTGTGTCTGCCTCATCTAAGAGCTTTTTTCGACGGACTTTTATTTTGGTAATTTGTTTTATTTTTCATGATGAAACGTGTGAAATTACATACTACAGTATTACACCCAAATTATATAAATTAAGTAACACTTGTAAGATCAAACAAGTCATAATGATATAATAAGATATATATATTACATTTGATTTTGTCAATTAAAAGCTGCTTCTGACAATTGCCGTTTCTGATCCATTTTTACCTCTGGTGCAGGGGTCAAGAAACATACAGATTATTTTTCTATATTAATCCAATATTTAAATATTCTATCTCACAAAATTTTGTGGGCAATATATTCTTACATCTACATTTGTAAATAGAATTTAAACAGCAACGGACTTGAGCGGTTTTTACCAAAGCAATTTTTTTTCTAGAAAAAAATTAACGGTACCAATTTTCCTGCACCAGATACGCATTTCGACAATAAATGTTTCTCCAGTGATGCTCGAGGCAAAAATATTTGAAAATCCAAAACTCATAAAAAACTATGAGCTTATAAACCAAAAAGGACAAACAGTATAGCCAAAGCCGGGCAAAGAATCAGAGCTTTGAATAAAAAAAAATGACAGACAAGTCATGCCTGTTGTAGACCATTGTGCAGACAAAATGTCGAACCAAACGAAAACTAACGAAGAAGAAAGTAATTTATATTAAATGCATAAACAACGGATACAAACTTATGGATATTAGATTTTCAATTAAAAAAATCATTACAATAAAATACTCGTCTTTTTGACATGGGTGAAATACCTGGTTGTTTTGCGTATTTCCTAGTCTGAAAAATCTTACAAAAGTTAGATACATTTTCATTTAATCTTTGACAGAGGGGCAGCAGCCGCTGTTGTATGCACATACTGGACGGAAGTTATCTTATACCTGATGTTCATAAAATGTAGTAAAATTTATGAAAACTCATGGAAAGGTATGTCATAAGTATTAAACAATTCTTTCAAACACAGCTACCACGTTATTAATCATGTCAACACCGAACCACTGACTACTGTGCAGATGATACACTGGGGGACTAATAGTCAACAAACAGCGGTATCGACCCAGTGTAATAAAAAATGAAAATAACATTTATAAATTGTATGCGTCCATAGCGCTTTTCTGAATCTAACAATCTAAAATTCAGAATATTACCTGTAGATGTAGCTATCAATGTATTTCATGTTCATTTACGACACATTTAAACTAAACATCATGTGGGCCTCTCTTCGGTTATGGTGCTCATTGTTTTAAGTTATGATATTTGTTTTTATTTACACACATTAAGACAAATCTTAGAGAGGAGATAATATATTTCCAATTATATATCTCTAATTTGCCGATTCAAATGTTGAAACTATGAATTTGAATATTGCAATTTTGGTTAAAGATATATCATTTTCATGGATTATACAGCTAGAAAATTAAACAACACGGCAACAGTACGCAAAACTATGACAATTTAACTTGCAAATGCTAAGAAAATATCAAAGAGCTTAACCATTGCCACAAATGAACAGTTGCTAATAAGTAATTTAATGTTTATAGGGTTTAGTAAAGAAGCCTTCCTAGAATGGAACACATTTCTAAATCTTGCTATTCCTGGAATATTTATGATATCCGTAGATTGGTGGAGTTTTGAAATATCAACTTTAGTTGTGGGTTTGTACTAAAATCAACTTTCTTTCAAAACGAATATAGGCATTTTTTAAGTGAAGCATCGTAACGACAAAGATTTCACAAAAAGAAGACATGAAGGGAGGGTTTGGGGTGCTGTCACCAGAGGACTATGCAAATTATGTCAAACTAGAGGCATCCGACATGTTGTTCATCTTAAGTATAAAACAAGAGAGCTAAACCGATTAAATGTAAAAAAATTGTATATTAGAATTTGAAAACTGAACATGGTTTGCACATAAGTTCAAATTAAAAATAATAAAAAAGATACTAAAGGGACAAGTTAAAAAAATAATCAGGCAACGCCATGGCCAATAGAAAGTAACAAAAGTCCACAAAACGCATTACATCAAATTAAAGGTTAGGCAACAATAACCCTATAAGAAAATCGGAGATAGATAAAATTGGTGCGAAATGATTCGCCGTTATTATTTTACTCTGATTATGCCTTCCTTTTGATTGTAGCGTCACTAATGAGTTTTATGATGACGAAATATGCGTCGGGCGTACAAAAATTATAAGCCTTGTATCTTTGATGGGGCTTTACTAGTATGAGCCGTCGGGATGTCCCAATTGTTTAAAAAAGATGAGTTAATTATGGCTACTAGTTGAACATATCCGTGAAAAATAGAGGATGCGATACTAAGAGAATATTCAAAACTCATGTCAACTGAAAACGCCACTGTAAAAGAAAACGAAAAGAAAACACTTCATAAAAAACTTAAGACTGAGCTACACGAACCCTGTCAAAAACCGGAGTTAATCGGACGGGTAAGCAGGTCTTGTTTGACTAGAAGAATCCTTCGTGGTGTAACGTTTTGAAATAAAAGTTTGAATTTTTGCATTCATATACGCTTAATATGGCACAGTGGCGGAAGAGGGATTCAATGGAGTGAACCCCTTTTCTTGGGATTGTTCGGGAGAGCATAAAATTCCGAGTTGACACCCTTCGTGTTACTGATGTTTCGTACGAATTTCGTGTTGAGTCTCATTCGGGGATTCACAATTGAGGAAAATAGGACTGAATGTGGTAACGACAGTCGAAACATATCGAGGTAATTTGTGAAACAGATCGTCTATACACCAACTTGTGATGACGTCCGTAACAACAAGTGAAACACAAGAACAGTTTTGAAATAGATCACTTCCGATTGAATGTCTTGAACGTCTGATTTAGGAACCCTTGGTTTGATAGCTTCTGCATATGTAAAAGCATACCTGCAGGCTGGAAATAACAAAAGGCAGCACATACTTTGGACTTAAATCAACTATGAAATGTATATTCCATATCCCGACTGTTAATGAGTACATTCAATACATAAAAATAAGACAGAAAATGTTTTTTTTTTATTATAAGGTGTCCTCGGAAGTGTTCAACTGGCAGCTCACAGCATTGTATTCCAGATCAATGGTTTAATATTCATGGTAAACATCATCATACCTTTATTAATTGCTATACCATTCATATTTATAAGACTTTTCAAACATCTAGGCTTACAGCGTTTCCCCTATTAACCACTCGATGTCACTCTCTCTGTCTCTCTCTCTCTCTTTTTTCTCATGCGATTTTCTCATTGTTTATTAAATCTTAGTTTTAACTACTGTTATCTATTATTTACTCCAAGTGTGTACCATCTGAAACATTTCCTGTTCAAGTATGCTTTTCAACTTCGAACTTATTGGCCTTTTAACTATTTTTATTCGAGCGTCACTGGTAAGTCTTTTATATATGAAACGCCTGGAATCTTTGATGACTTTTTTTATATTACGTTAGTTTCGTTGTGCCTTTGTGGATCAGTTTTGGAAAAAAGTATCTGTCTGTGAAACTTTAAATTATTTAGAGATCTCACTTTTTCGTGAAGGTTATAATTATAGAATAGTTTGTATTATATATATCTATCGTGGAAACGAAATTGAAATGAGATTTTTACAGATAGATATGAAGACATAAATAATATCATTTAGCTCGGGGGTCCACTTCAATACTTAATTGATAGGGGGTGCCGCTGGAGTTCTGTTACCCCACCCTTTTCACATAATTTAGATTTTAAAAATGTATACCTTTTCATATATTGCGTAGGTAAAAACGTAACCTTTCCCAATATTGGTAAATATCACCTTTGTTCGGAGCTCAGATTCCTCGTGTAATGTTTACTTACGGCGAGACTTTCGGCTGTGAAAATTTTTCAGTGCTATTCATATAACAAGTAATGGGAACTTTATAGAGCTTATCATGTATTTCTGAATGTTTTCCCCACCTATTCACATATTTTCAAGCTGGAAAATGTGACCTATTCCAGCGGCACGTCCTATCACCTTGCGTATAGGAAGTGCACCACCCCCCCTGAGTAATTTAGTCATCAATATTGGAAGGTAAAACCAACTTAAATTGCAATGTCGGTTTTTTTATAACCTAAATAAAAATAGTGATTGGAATGATAAAGTAACTTTTCCATGTGCTAGCAACGGGTCGATACCTTTGATGTTGGATTAATAGTTCCAAAGGTATCATCAGCTCAGTAGTAAGTACTTTGGTACTGACATGGTACTTAATATACTTTTTAGCTCACCTGGCCCTGGTATTTGGTTTAACAAATATAGCCGATATGGCTAATATAGAAAACACAGGGGTTAAGTGCAAGTTTTGTATATTTTACTGAAAACAGCTTTAGATAGATCTGACAAGGGCAAAATGTTCCGAATGTACCTGCTGTCTATTTACATAAAAACTGTCAGACGACTTCTAAGAGAAGATATTGCCGAAAACTATGAAAGATGGTCAGAAACGTTAAATAAAAAAAAAATCATCAGGACAAGATCTATAAATAAGTCAAAAGGCCAAAATAGTCAGTCGACTCCTTATTGGAGTTATTGCCCTTTAGTGAAAAATTTTACCATTTTTTTGTATTTGCCTTTTATCTTGAAATCTACAATATAGATAGATAAAAACTTTTAATAGCAGAAATGATAAGCAAGACAAGATCTTTAATAAAACCAAATTGTTGAAATGCTTACAGTTGACTCCCTTAAATGATGATATTTAGTATTTTTGCCTATAGTACTAACGAAGCGGAGAGAAATGGAAAAAAAAAGTAAACAAGGTAAGAATTCATTCAATTTAAAGCATTTCTACTGATTTGACGAGGGTACCGCTTAAGAAATGATATTCTGATATATAATTCTTTAAATTATTAGGCCGATAAGTACAAAATTAAGACAAGATTTTGTGTTATACTCAAGAACTTGCCACTTAGTACCTGAAAATTTCGATGTCGATCGTCCTCTGTCGCCCCATTGGCAAGATATTCAACTGTTTTTCAGAATTTTTCCAGACACTTTTTTAGATTATTATAGTTTGGCATCATATTTACTGAAATTTGTTGTCAAAATGAACGTTTTTAAAGAACATAGACCCTAAAAAATAAAGTCTAGGGTACGGCAACTTGCTCATGTTGACAAATTTACTGTATGGCAACTTGTTTTCAACTGTATGGCAACTTGCTAATTTCAAAATATTTATTTGCCGTCTTTTGAAAGAAATAAAGTATTAGGTTCAAATATCTAATTATGCATTTGATAAAAATACAATTCGCTTGACACCATTTAAGATGTATACACAATATAAGGCTTGAACACAGTCCTATTACATCTTTTACATACCTGATGTATACAATATGAATACGGCATATACAAAAGCTGGCAAATGTTGTAACTTTCGGAAAGGCATGTCACTGTTTTACTGACCTGTTGTTCTGCCCTGACGTAGCATTAAATGTTACCCATGTCCGTCCGACCCGTCTCTCCCGTCCGTCCAGAAAGTCCCAATAATTGGTTTCCGTTCTCTAACTTTAGTATGCCTTAACCAAATGTTTTAAAACTAACACGAAATGCTTATCACCACAAAACACAGATCAAGTTATAAATTGGGTAGCGTCACTGTAAACCGTTCTTGAGTTATGCCCTTTATAAATGAAAAAAAGCTAAAGCTGTCGTTTCTGTTCTCAAACTTTAGATTGCCTCAACCAAATGTTTTAACCATACAACATTAGTCAGCATTTGCATATAAGTGATGAACATTTCGGGGATGGGTTGTGGGTGGAGGGAAGGAAGGAGGTAATGGCAGGAAAATTTTTCCGCATTGAATATTTAGAACCATTAAGTGAATGAATTCTCTTTCAACTGTCAGATAAAATGAAATATAAATGAATTATCATTCTCTGCAAAAAATAAATGTTGTATTGCTACACCACGGCACCATGTTAAGGGAGGTTTGAGTGCTCACAAACATGTTTAAGCCCGCCTCAATATATATGTGTCTGTCCCTGGTCAGGAACATGTAATATAGCGGCTGTCGTAAGTTGCTGCCTGACATATTTGTTTATGATTTGTCATAAATCAGGCAATTTTGATACGGTATGGGTTTTGTTCATTGTGAAGTGTATAGTAACCAATAGTTGGTCAAATCTATTTCATTTGGACTTTGTTTGAAAGTCCTCTCAATGAAAACCATTCCACGTCTCCTTTTTCAATTAATGTTATTGTCTTATTTGTAAAAGGCAGATACAGCCAATATATTAGAATAAAGAACATTAATTTTCTAAAAAAAAAACTTCATCTCTATATAGTAAGAAATGAACAAGCTCGGTGGCTAACACTGTTTAAATTTAAAAATAAATATTAACCTTAGATTAATAATTTTTGGAAAGAATGAAAGAAGAATCCGATACAAGGGATACAAATCCGGCTATGGCTACGGCATAAACTATTTATATAAACTTTCTACTTGAGAATAAAGATGACCTTGTATGAAGTTTTTTTTGGTTGTCATCTTAATATTATAAACTTATTAATACAATTCACAAAAGCTAGCATCTTCGACTTGTAAGTTTAAAGAATTATAATGAAATAACATCTAATAAGGACAGTTTGAAATATTTTTGAATCCTGATGGTGCATACTCATAAATTCTTTTGGAAAAATCCGCGTAAATTTAAATGTTGATTTGATAGCATTCATTTATTTATTTGCCCTCGTAAACAGTTTTGTTAAAATACCGAAATCGGTAAATTCTTATTGTGAACGAATAAGTCGGGTACACCTTTTTACATTCAGGCGTGCTTAAGTTATATCTATTTAACCCAGCACATTCTTTATGTGTCTGTCCGAAGCCACGAGCCTGTAGTTTGGTGGTTGTCGTTGGTCTCTATCATATTTGTTATTTTTCGTTAATTGTTTTGTTATGAGTTAGGCCGTTAGTTTTCTTGTTGAATCCTTCCACAATTTTCATATCGGGGCTTTTTATAGCCGACTGTAAGGTACGATTTTTCGTTGTTGAGAGCCAAACGATAGCATATAATTGCTTACATACACTTTATTTGACCCTGGTGGATAGTTATCTTATTTGCAATCATACAACATCTCCACTGTTTATATTTAAAAAAAAAGAACAGCGCCAACAAAAGATGAATGGTCGTTTTTTTTCATTGAACTTACAAAATTTCACCCTGACAACAAATAAGACAACAGTCGTTAGTATTATAACGATATATGAATGTATTTAGGATAATATGGTTGAAAAAAACCTTTTTGTCTTTAAAAACAAAAGTCAAATAGAAGTACGCAACGACGACTTCTGAACGAAATTAACGGCATATATTTTATAATATTTGATAAGTAGTTTATTTTGTATATTTGTAAGCCGGTAAAGCTTTGATACAGCCAAAATTTCGTCACTTGATATTATCTAAACAGTGATTAATTTCATCTTTAAATTACAATATATTGCAAGACACCGTACAGACAAAAGTTGTTATTTTGCAATTCGCCGTACAACGTCCTGCAATTCGCCGTACAATAAACAAACAATGTTTTGGTCCATATTCTTTAAAAACATCTTTATGACAACAGATTTCAGTCAATATGGTGTCACACTATCATAATCTAAAAACGTGTCTGGAAAAATAATGAAAAACAGTTGAATATCTTGCCAATGGGGCGACAGAGGACAATCGACCTCGAAATTTTCAGGTACTAAGTGGCAAGCTTTGGAGTATAACACAAAATCTTGTCTTAATTTTTTACTTATCGTCCTAATAATTTAAAGAATTATATATCAGAAAATCATTTCTTAAGCGGTACCCTCGTCAAATCAGTAGAAATGCTTTAAATTGAATGAATTCTTACCTTGTTTACTTTTTTTTTTCCATTTCTCTCCGCTTCGTTAGTACCCAATTTCCGGTGGCGATGATACACAGTGATGAAGATCTTTTATATTTGTATTATGAGATTTTTAGAGGTTTTTGTATATATGCATACTCTATCACTGTATCTAAAGTGCTGCGTCTGCTCGAGACCGTTAAGTTTTAAATATATATAACGTTACTGTCGAGAGAAGAAATATTAAAGGGCAAGAAATACGGTGTTTAACATTTTCATCTGAAAATATATTTTGACAATATGATGGCAAAAAATTACGTGAAAACGATCGTGTTCTTTCTGTGAAGCGTCATTATTCATGGTCGCTTTTTTTCTTGACGTCACAACAGCACAATTACTGATGAGCAATAAAAAATGACGTCTGAATTGAACTTATTTCAAGCAAACCATACAGTGATTATCAAACAATAATCAATCGTTTAGGGAAAGTATATCAATTACCAATTTAAAAAAAGTATATATTTATAAAGTTTTAATAAACTAACTGATGAAATTACAGTATTGCCCAATAAACCCGAATAAAAGCCTTATCTCCGGCAACATGATATGACATTTAATAATCTGACACTATTAATCTCCATCAAACAAATCATTGAAACTAATACATTTATATATTAAGGAAAAAACGGAGTTGTTGTTAAACAAATTAAACCTTAACGATATTAAGGATTTTTCTGAAAATAAAAAAACCAAAATAGCTCGATTATGTGATATCTATATTTTAAGAGGGAATCATCATATGGAGATATTTAGGACAGAGTTAAGGAAATAAATATGATAAAGTCATCATAGATAACAGGATTGAAATTTTGTACGCCAGACGCGTGTTTTTTCTACAAAAGATTCATCAGTGACGCTTGAATAAAAAAAAGTTAAAAAGACCAAAATAAAGTACGAAGTTGAAGAGCATTGAAGACCAAATATTCCGGTTGGAAAATCCTGCACAATATATTTATTGCAAGAAGTATGAAGTTTGGGGAATTAATATGGGATGTTTGCTGGAAAAAAATAGGAATCGAAATTGACAAAACAAAAACCGTAATGGTTATCACTTTGAGCATGGTACGTGCAGGTATTCATTTGATAGATATATATTTCACCTGTCATAAAGATCAAACTACAATCAATGTGGATGTTACAGTAATATATATTTATACGACAGTGAAAAAAGGATCTGCATTGGAAAATCTGAATTTTGTGAGAGTATTGATGCACTTGCATAATCTAGATTATACAACGGAATGAAAAGCTCTGTTTCATTTATCATGTTGTAAGGTATAAGCGTTGAAGACTTAACAACAACTGTCAAGATAACGATACAGCAATAAAAGCCTTATTTCCATAACATGTTCACCTTATATCATAATATCTTAATTTCTAGTTTCCAATTAAATTCCTTCTTATATCACGTATTTAACAATTACTACACGTAGCGTTTTACTTACATTAAAAAATGGTTAGATTTTATAAGCGTTTTCATAACTTTTTAATATAGTTCGTGCATAGCCTAGAATATGCTGAAGAATACACATACTTTTCTTAAAAGTTTGAAAGTTTGGTTTTTTGCTGTAGGAGTGGTAAATATATTTTACTCTGAAATTAGAAAAAAATACAGTTAAAGTGTAGAACAACAAAATAGCTATTTCAATTTCAATTTCACGTTTATCTGCAGATTTGTGCACATAGAAGAAAGAGAATATTGCAATTGTGATATTGTTTAATAATAAGTGTCCTTATTATTATTGATAACACGATACCTGCATTGTGGGATAATAATTGTTGTCGAAAATTGCAATCAACGGTTTGATTGGTGAAAAAGAATGATCATATGTAATGCTTGTAACCTTGGCAACGTTTTGTAAAGATAAAGAGACGAGGAGGGCACGGTATCTGTTTATTTGTATGTGAAAAATATGTGACATGCTTCATAAAGATAACTGCAAGAGAACAATTTTAGTTTGAGTAATAAATTGAATAGTTGAAACAGTTAATAACATTTAGAACATCAAATATATTCTTGTCAATCATATTTTTCGTTACCTTGGTAGTATTTTATAAAATATATAAATGGTGCACAGCTATTCGTTTGGTAATTTATGGTTTAAGTAAACGAGAAATATAGAAAAAACTACATTGTATGAATATTTTCTATTTGCTAGTATATTTGTGATTGAACGTAATACATGACAAATGTTAACAGTGGTTAAGTTAACATTGTTGTTACCATAGCAAAGATATATCTGCTATACAATTATTTAACTTTTCAAGTGTGTTTTATTTATATAATAACTTTATTGTAAGACTTGAACCTGCATTTGCTTTTATTTTTTAAGGTGTCATCTAGTGTAAAATACATTGAAAAGGATAAAAGAATAAAAAAGCTGATATTAAGGCTCAGTTGCCATAGCATTTCATGACGTCATTGTAAGAAAACGGCATATGATACCCATGAAATTATTATTGCATTGAAGGCTTCACATCATAAATATAAATTGAAAGTAATATCAATAGAATATGAGATGGGGCTAATTTTGCCCCTTAGAGCACCCATTCCTTTATTAGAATGTCGAAAATGAAGCAAATATTTTCTCACTAAACTTAATTCATTTTCACACTTTCTTTTTACTTAAAACGACCAGCACTCGAGAAGATCATTCTACTGGAATGTGATCTGAACATGTTAAAAAATGGAGAACAAAATCCTCACTAAGACAGCAACCGAATGACACCCCCAAATCACAACAACAAAACACACAAAAAAAAAAACCCAAAAAAAACAACAGAAACAATAACATAGATTACAATAAAAAAGTATAAAGTACAAATTAAGGAAAAATATAAACACTAGGGTAAACAAACTCGAAACAACATAGTAAAAGAAACCTCTTGAGTCCGAATCGCTCCTCAAGACCCACCTCCACCAGGAACACCTATTGTAAAAAACCCGAAACCAGTAGCATAAATGCATAAAAAGTGAGCTTTTAACCGTATGTTGCTTTGTACCGTTTGATGTGTGCACAAGTGAGAAACGTTTCATTTGATTTCATAATTAGGCTTAATATGTTTATTGTTTATATTATAGTTACAACATTTTATTTTGAATGATATGATTTTAGATTCCATTAGGGTTATCTTCAGCAGTATGTATAAAAGTTGGACAAAATGTTGGAGCTGGGGATCCAATTAAAGCTCAGACGACATCTAGAGTTGGAATCTTGGTTGGGTGTATGTTATTTTACTGTTCATGCATTTTCATATACAGTCTTTAATAATTGTGATACATTTGGCTGATGATATCAGCACAATTTGTGTTAAGGCCCCTTCTATCATAGAGCTAAGAACGTTGCAACGCATTTATGCATTCCTGGCTTCAAATACTTAGGTTTGAGCTTTCCTGATGAAGGTAATTTCAGAAAAGTGCTTCGGATCCACAAAAATTATAAATTGTTATTTTCATTTAATAACATTACGGTTTATTGTAAAGTTATTAAATGAAAATAACAATTTATAATTTATAATGAATACAACATCGTGTAAATTACTTTCTTGTCATCTTTCTAAATTTTACAGCATTTTTTTTTTATCAAAACAAGGAGCTATAATCACAATTTAGTTCTTACAACAAGCATCCTATTCTTCTAGTTCTCGGTTTTTTTGATATGGAAACATAGATTTCGAAAGAATTTTGCCGTTGTGGAAATCCAAAAGGAGGGAGCGCTAGAATTCTTGAATTCTCGCAATTGATTAGTGCAAATCACAATTCTACTAGCTACGATTTCAACATATGCCTTGTCCCAGGCATGAACTTCTTAGACGAAATGTAATATTTTACATGTTCAAACAGTAATAAAAAAAAGGAAAATTAACATAATATAAAATATATAGAATAACATTAACGGTTCCAATTGTACTGCACTGGAAGGACATTTCGACAAGTAATGCCTCTTCAGTGATGCTCGAGACCATGGTATATAACATTCCAAACCTAATACAAACGTTTAAGAGCTGATAAAACAAAAAAAGACAGAAAGTAAAGCCAAACCTTGCAAGGTATCAGAGCTATGCAACGAGAGACATTATCTGAAAATAAAATGAGATTTTGAATGCAAAGAAGTAACACAAAGCATCCATATTAACAACAAACATTTTGACAAGTATATGCATCATTACACATAAACGTTGGAGACCTAAACACGAATGCCAAAGAGAGGCAAAAGATATCAAAGGGACATTCAAACTTATAAGTCGAAATAAACTGACAACGCCATGGCTAAAAAGGTAGGAGACCAACAGACAAACAATAGTACACAAAACACAACATAGAAAACTAAGGACTGAGCAACACGAACCCCGCCAAAAACTGTGTGTGATCTCAGGTGCTCCGGAAGTGTAAGCAGATCCTGCTCCACATGTAGCAAATGTTGATAACACAATAAACCTTAAAATATAGTTGAATATCTGTCAGTTTTGTTAAGATAAATTGATTTTTACAGTTTGATCTGATAGTTGTTATTACATGTACACCCCTGCCCCATATTAGTGGAATGGTAAAGCTCTCACCAACATATTAAACGCAGTCATATACCGTGAGGTGAAGTGTAGTTAATCTCTCATTTGCAGCCATACAAAATAAAAATTTAATAGACAAAGGTAATAATTTCTACCTTTAATAAAAGTGTTGACGATGTTTAGTGTCGTGTCAAATATCTACTGCAGGTCATTTGGAGAAAAAGATTATTGAATACTGACTGCGCAAAAGTTTTATTCTAAAATGTTTTTAATCGATTATAAAGTGTGTTGTTTTCAGGGATAACTGCGTTGTTTACTAGCACATTTTACATTTCATTGAAAGATATTGTTCCAAAAGCATATACCAGCAATATGTAAGTAAATTAACAATGAAAAATACAGCAAATATAAAAATAAGAAGATATGGTATGATGCCAATGAGACAACTTTCCATCAGAGACTAAAATTACATAGACGTTAACATCTATAGGTCACTGTACGGTCTTCGACAATGAGCAAAACACATACCGCATAGTCAGCTATAAAAGCGACCGAAATGACAAAGGTAAAACAATTCAAACGAGAAAACTAGAGTTTAGTTTAATATTAAGTAGGGTTTTATATCTATCTATAACGAAACTTTTGTTTGTTTTTGCACTGCTTTTACTACTGAAAATTCAGACACGTTTGCATACAAATAGTGCTATCAAAATTTAAAATGCGAGTTTTTACTTTTTCAAAACCTATCCTGTCACACTTTTCGCAATAATAAAAACATTGCAGAATTGAAAGATCAGTTTCACACCGGTATAATTAAAATATTATGGTGAATTTGAATATGTTTTATGTGTCAGAAAACGGTTAAGCTACTTTCAATAAAATAAAACTGATAAATGTTTCATTGATGTCTGACGATATACCTAATTTACCTATCAAAGAGCACCATACACGTGTTTTGGGAATTACTCTTGTTTGTTAGTGTACACCGATATTTTCGGCGAACCTGGTTATAAAATAGCGGCTAGTTTTTATTGAAAGAGGAAACCGGACTGCCCGGAATAACACTTTTCCGGTACACTCTTTGTATGATGCACTGAGGGACTTACCGTAGTATCTTTGTATTGTAGCGAAATCTTACAGTTGACTTCAAAAGTGATGCCGCAGATAGCTACATACAACTTCATCAATATAACAATGGTAATTATTGAAGCATGGACATGCCCCAATGTATTATTTTCTTATCCATATTGCGAATATTCTGCTTTGCATAATTTCAATTGCGAATATTTGGCACACTGTTAAATGTCATTACGAGTGCATGCATTAGGAGCAACTTCTTTAAAGGGCCATTAGCTGTCTAATTCTGTCCTTCGATTTGACTCAAATTCTCATTTTTTTATTTTTAACATGCTAAAATGTCTTTTCAAATTACAAAAAAGTCCTAAAGAAACAATGTACATTGCATGAACTCGTTATAATATATCAACATTTCATGTTTATTTTAAACTCCATTTAATTAACCATCGGGATGATCTCCGAAGAATTACGTAGGTCATATGACTTGATGTAAACATAGATATAAATATAAATACACAGACAAGCACGTGCAATCGAAAAATGATGATTTTGCAAGGCCTGTTTGATTTTATGTCACAGAAACAAAAAGTAAATCATCGTTTTAACTGTATTTGAACGATTTTTTTGTGGGCAGAATCCATCAAAGAGGGATCTTCCTAGTGGCTGCCTTGTTTCACTTTTCAATTTTGACAATCTACTATTCTTTTTTTTTAATAACTAAACATGCTTAGCCCATGGTGTCCATCCCAGTGAAAGATTAAATTGAAGTTCGTATAAATACAGATTCAAATAAGTTAATAATTGAATTGCGAGCCAAAAATACATCATCGATATTATTTATTATATTTTGACAAAATTGAATCAAAACTGACTGATTATAGGAAAACATTATTTCACAATTTTTCTATTATAAATGTTTGGAAAAAAATCATATTTTGATTTTTTGTCAATTTCGTAGCTAATGCCCTTTTAATAAGCAATCAAATCAATTTCAAGTCATTGTAGACAAGTTTATGGTTATGTAATAATGTAGTACTATGCTAAGAATTTATATGCATTTCACATTCTTATATCAAGGCAATGCAACGCCTTAAGATGTTAAATCAGTGATATATTTGATAGGTTTTTATATATGTATTGTCACATCGTATTTCTTCGAATAGTTGTTAATTGGTTAATTAATAAGGTATGTGCAATTCTGAACGTGTTGTGATTCATTATGGAGTACCATGCATTGTTAACAATTACACTTGGTTAAGTAAAATTAATCCAAACGTATCTAAAGCAATCATACAAATAAAGGGGCAATGACTAATAATATATAAAAAAATCATATAAAAATAACACTCCAAAAGATGGAAAAGGTCAATAAAACATTACAAAGTAAATTAAGTCGATCATCAAAAACGCCGTTAATAAATGGGCGCGAAAGCCCAAAAAATCGTGCAGCTAAGGTTTCTACTCCAAAATTGCACACGTTTTGTAGCTTATGTAAAACGCCGATGACGAATCACATTGGAGATTTTATAAATGAGGAAAAAAAGTCGGAATAGACATGTTCCATAAAACTCACTGTACTTTTATTCTTTAATGAAGTTTATTTTTTATTTGTTGTATTGCAATAGAACGTTTTTACACGCCTTCATTTAGCATTATTGTAGGGCATGATATGAAGCCTTACTGTAAACTATAAATGACAAAATGATTAACAACAGGAACTCATACTAATAAAGGAGGTGTAACAAGTTATTGTTTCATAATTTAAAGAAAATAAATCATTTATTTTATGTTTTTTGTGTGACAATATTTCTCCGCTGATTAAGCATGAATCAACATAGAGGTTGGTATCATGTCCAATATGCATTTCTTAATAATAAATCTATGGATTTTGAATTAAGATAGCACGTATTAAAAATGTTTATATGCATTGAAATAAGTGAAGCTGTGTAATAAACAAGGTTTGAGCTATTTAATATTATACTGTGGAACCGAGATTCTATTTTCAAAATTTTATCCCAACATCACAAAATAAAAACATTAGCGTGGATGGCAACGTCACAGAACAGTATGTCGATGAAAACTTTGAAGTTGTATAAAGCGACATTACAACTTTCTATAATCATGCAGACTACTTTTACAAATTAAATGTTTGACATCAGAATGAAAGATAGATTATGTCGCTTTTTAATATTATATTATGAGATAGAAAAAAATATTTTAACGGAGACATGTTTTTTAGAATATCGATAATTGAATCGCTTCAATTTACTATTTCGTGATTTTGTGAACATCTTTTGAGAAATATATCATGCTGACATTATGCTGCTGATTTCATTAATAATATAATTGTTTGCAGTATGGATATTTATGTCAGCTGAAGTATCTGCATCATGGGAGCAGAAATAAGACTTAAAGAGTAAATAATGTCTTTTATATATGGTGCAATTGGTGTCTGCGGTTGATTGGAGTTCATTTTTATTTTGCAAATGTCAATGCATATAGAATTAATGTATTTAAAAAAAAATTTACAAAAGTTTAAAAATGCTAAATTCAATGAATAGCCAGTCCAAAACTTTAAAAATATTTATGCAAGGTAAACTTTTAGACCATAGTGGAAAAATAGCATAAGGGTAAGAAGATACAAATCTTTTATAAAAATTGTCTCTAGCAACATAAACCGAAAAGCTAAATTGACACTCGTTGGCGATAAAATGACGAAATCATATGCACTCATTTGCAAATGTATATATATATTAGATTTGTGGAAGCAAAGAATTTTTATGCAAATTCATATGAAGAGAGGGAATTACTTAAAGATCCACTTGATAAAAAAAAATATGAAGCATTTGTTTTTCGGTTAACATAAACGTTCAGCCAATGTTAGAGAGAGGGAAAGTACAAAGGAACTAGATAATACATACATGTATGAGTGTATGTCATATGCCAGATAGTAGCTCATTGTAACACTTTTTGTAGTCAACCAAATATTCTATCACCACTTATCAATCTCATTTATTGAAAAATGTCGTTTTGTGAGTGAACAATCGTTGAATCATGGAGAGTTTACTATTTAAAATTGAACTTAATTAAATCTGCAGTCAGTAAAAAAACGTTAAGTATGACAAAAGGCAAATTAAAAATATTATATAAAAAAAATGTGGTATGATTGCCAATGAGACAACTATCTACCAGAGTCTACAATAAGTGGATGTAAGCAATTTTAGGCAACCGTACCGCCTTCAACAACAAGAAAAACCCATACGGTATAGTCGGATATAAAAGGCCCCGACATAAAAAGAATTTGAAACTTATCAAAAGAGAAAACTAACGGCCTCATTTATAACAAAACAATTTACGGAAAAACAAATATGACAGATATGAACCGACGACAACCACTGACCTACAGGCTCCTGACTTGGGACAGGCACATACATAATGTGGCAGGGTTAAACATGTTTTTGAGCGATATACCTTCCCTCCTAACCTGAGATATAACAGCACAATATAAGAATAAACTGTAAAAATCAGTAGCAATTGGCTAAAATCAAAAGATCGATACGAGGCACAAAATTAACTAACATAAAAACCAAATGCAAAGCCTTGAAATAAGAGTACTCACATTTACTAAAAGCTGGTTCAAAGTCAATTACAACTAATACAGGAATCATGTTCTCCCATACTAAAGTTATTTTGTTTTTAAAAAATAATAACATTATCTTTCCAGCTTGTTTTGAATGGCATTTTACGCGGAACAGGACATCAGAAATATGGAGGCATAGTAACGGTAATAGCGCATTATGTCATAGGAGTACCGCTTATGGTAGTACTTGTTCTGTATACCTCGTTAGAAATTGCAGGTAAAATTAATTAGTACGTGCAAAACCATATAACTCACCGTATTAGCTGGTCATATTAGGATAACTTCAGTTTTATAGTATCATTAACCCACCTGGAGAGCTGGAAATTCTTAGTTCTATCCACAAAAACAGGTCAAGCTTATACGTTATATATTAGTGTCTGCCTCATCTTTGCTTATGAACGCAGCATTGAGGATTTTGAGTTAAGACTGCTCGGCTCAGCTCGTCATATGACGTATATGATAGTGTGATTTGTATATGCATAAGTATATAAGAACCGTTTTGAACATTAAATATTCTTTTTTCTTTATTCCTTATTCTATTTATATCATATAAAATCAGTTACAACAATACCTCGCCGATGTTCAAATATTATTAATCGAATAGAAAGAAATCAAGGTAACAAACAAAAAGTGATGGAATCGGATCGGAAGAACTCCAAAAAGAGCAACACTGGGTATGTCGACAGGGTAAAGTCTCCTTGCATCACCCGCCATACGTAGCCACACTAAGTCAAAATGTCGTAATCAGGAATATGACACATTGAACTTAATGTACATATCCGACTACTATTCTGCTATCTACATATATACGCACGAAAACACGTCCCTAAAGAGTTGAACAGACCATTGTCACTAAAATCGTGATGATGACATTAAAACGAATGTAGTGTCGATTTAAGTGATTTTTCTTTATAACTATGTACAAACAGGTTTTGTGTCAGAAGCACATCCCTGTTAATAAAACCCGTATAGTTTGAACATGTGCCAGTGTAACGTATTAACATTTCTTTCTGATCATATGTTTAATATTCAGCACTAGACCTAAATTAAACATCAAGTATATATCACTTACAGTTACCTAACTGTTTTGTCAGAAACTGAAGGTGTATAAATGTCAGTGAGAAAGATTAATTGTTAGATTGACTGATTTGTGTTTAACGCCATTCAGAAATATTGTGATATTTCGTGGCGGTTAGTTTTAATTTGTGGAGGGAGCCGGAGTGCCGGGAGAGAACCAACAACCTTCCGTAAGAAAACGGACAATCATAGTCAATCAAGATTGGAGTATAGCGCATCTGCCACGTGCGGGATTCGAACTCGACAGGTTAGTGATACAGTAGTTCTACTCCTTAGACCACATGGTCACCGATGCCCCTCAGTGAGAAATAAGAACAGGGAACAAATACTAATGTCATATACCGAAAAGGAATAATGATAAATATTGTGTTTTAAATGCTCCAAATCATGTAGTGAAGAACATTTGTTTGATGAGAGCAAAAACTATCTATGGTATGATCCTTTAATAATGTTTCATTTTAATGAAAAATATAATTGTAGTACAATACATAAAGAATATTATATGAATTGTTTTTAGGTGTATGGTGGGCATTCTGTTCGGCTATTGTATTCATGTTTGTTCTATATGCTGCAAAAATATTATCAATTAGCTGGGAAAATGAGTGTAAAAAGGTATGAATGTCTTGTTATAGTGAAAAAAGTGATCGTCGTTTAATTGCCTTACATATTTCAATAGGATTAGTGTTTGAGTGACTTTTTTCAATATTTAGTCATGTGTTTGTTTTACTGCAGATAACAATACAGATATGTAAAATGGAAAGTTCTGAGAACGACTCCTAAAATGATGAATTCATAGAGTCTAATTAACTAAAGTGCTATTACTTAAGGAGCTTGAAAAATGGAAATAGGCATGCTAGTTCCTTGCCACTCACAATGTCATTTAGCCAACAAATGATAGAAACTGTACAGGTGTTTTGCTTAACAAAGAGAGTTTCAATAACGGTATCAATTAAATTATTATCTTTGAAGGCCCAAGAAAGGACAGCAGTGACATTTAAAGACAATCCAGTCTGTGGAGGTAAGTTCTAGACACTATAAGTTTGCTACCTTTGTTCATAATTAAAGAACTAAGATATTTACTATTACATTAATTGCTCTCATATCTACACTGATTTTACTTACTTATATCAAGGACGTATAACTAACAATACGTCTTCGCAGAAAGTTGATGAACCAGGATTATTTCAAAGAACGGTTCTAAAAAAGTTCATCGGAAGATACCAAGGCCTTGTTGATAAATATTCCGAATCAACTTCACAAATAATACATGATGGTCGTGAAGTATAGATTCTAGGTACTGACGTTGTTTATCATCTTAATTACGTGCTAAAGTGTTTTTTTTTATTTGTCTTTGTAAATAATTAACTTTACTGTTAAGTCCTTTTGGCGTGGCTCGGTATTTATGCCTATACCAAGTGAGGAATATGACAGCTGTTTTCCATTCGTTTGATGTGTTTGAACTTTTGATTTTGCCATTTTATAAGGGTCTATCCGATTTTAATTTTCCTTGGAGTTCGGCATCTTTGTTATTTTACTTTTTACAATGTTGAACTTAAAGAAAAAGTTTTATGTTAGATGTACACTTAAATTAACTTTATGCTAAAGGCAAAGTAGGAAAAAGTAAAATCACAAAAATACTGAACTCAGAGGAAAATTCAAAAAGGAAAGTCCCCAATCAAATGATAAAATAAAAAAAACAAACACATCAAACGAATGGATAACAACTGTCATATTCCTGACTTGGTACAGGCATTTTCTTATGTAGAAAATGGTGGATTGAACCTGCTTTTAAAGCTAGCTAAACCTCTCACTTGTATCGCTTGCCCTGTATACACAACCGGGCTCGTTTGTGTTGGAGTTCATGCGATGCCGCTAGTTTTTGTTGTTACCTTGATTTGAATCATCTTCTTTGTTACATATTTGTTTGTTTTTATAATGATTATGATTATAACACAATGTTGACTGCTGTACACCTATTTTTGACATTTTTACCTATTATGTCTGTTTGTTTTGTTCACACATCGTTGTCAATATAATGGAATTTTATACGACTGTCATACAAGTGAGAGGTTTAGCTATCTATAAAACCAGCTTTAATCCACCATTTTCTACATAAGAATTGCCTGTACCAAGTCAGGAATATGACAGTTGTTATCCATTCGTTTGATGTGTTTGAGCTTTTGATTTTACCTTTTGATTAGGGACTTTCCGTTTTGAATCTACCTCGGAGTTCAGTATGTTTGTGACTTTGATTTTTTCTTCAAAGAGGCGCAATATACCAAAGGGACATTTGAACGCATTAGGTAAAATCAAATTGACAACGCCGTGGCAAAAAACGAAAAACGACCAAAGATTATCAACAGTATACAAAACACAAAATAGACAACTAAAGACTGAGCAACACGGACCCCATCAACAAAAAGTATAGTACACAATGACCTAAGGACAAGAAAAATGTTTAGGCTTGTCATTTTGTACTGTTGTGATAAAACTGTTTTTTTCTTAATCCATATGAGTGTAATTTGAAAATATAGTTGTTACTAATATTATTCAGCTCGGAAAACATACTTTTAAAACACAGAGAGTTAACCGTATTTTTATTTTCATTACATTTGGATTATTTGTTTTTTTTGGGATCTCACTGAGAAGTAAGCGTTTGTTTGTAGCTGTTATGGTAAACTTGATCTTATATAGATTCTTTCTAATGTTGACATGATAGTTAATTGGACAACGTATGAGAAAAGAAAGCAAAGATAACATGTATTACAAAATTAAAATTTGCAGTAAACATTTGATTCGATGAAAATGAAAAGTTTAAGTCCATGTACGTTACAAGTGACAAGTGTTCTGGGTACATGGATACTTATTTTACACCTTTTGCTTCTGTGTTGTAATAGCCGAAACCGACATCCGGAAAGTTTTAGACAACATTTTTGATTCAATATTTTTTATCGTCTTTCTATTTTTGATATTGCTATAAAAAGTGAAATAGCAAAAATACCAAACTCCAAGGAAAATTCAAAACGGAAAGTTCTTTATCAAATGGCAAAATAAAATTATATTGCACTGTTTTTTTTTCGTTAAATCGTTATATTGATCTAATGTTTTGATTTAGAAAGGTCATATGTCGAATTTTATATACCTGAAGTCAACAAATAACGCCCACAAAAAAACTCAACACACAAATGAAAAAAGAACAAGACGAAATTACAAGACATATCTATATTTCACAAACAAAAGAGCTTCAGTGAGACAACAGTACAGTTTGTTGGCATGTATGACAAGAATTATCATCCGTCGTAGTCGACCGCGAATCATACATTAAGACAGCATAATTTCTTGGTTATCGTCTTAACCTATTACGGAGCTAAGTAAATTGAAAGTTTTAAACCAAGGATTTAATAGAGGGTTAAACTGAACCACAAACAGAAAATAACCTACAGTTAAATGTCTTTCAAGGTTTCTTCAAGATGCTGTCCATAAATTAAAACATATGACGACTTCGTACTAGGATCTATCACCAATGTCATAATTTTAGCTTTTCTTTACTCAACCTCCTATCTTAATTAGTCAAATGCCATCTGCCTTGTGCCATATCAAGATTTTATTCAAGCAGTTTTTACAAGATGATATTCCAAATTATATATAATGAATCTTGTTTATGAGTAAGAACGATGTTACAATGTCATAATATCTGATTCCCAAACCTCATAAAGAATGATATTATGTCAATTTGCATAGCATGTCTGTTGCACCAGACTTGCAACCTTCTTAAGTTTAGACTGTTGGTTCATTTGCAGTTATGGATAAAATTAACAGTATTCTTAAAAGAGAACGCAATGATAAAACGGACTTGTGTATGCATAATATACTACGGTTTAAAATATTTTAGGGGATCAAAGGTCATCAAGTGAATGCAGCTATACAGACACCTTTGCAAGTAATAATGACTGTCGTCAGCTGTTTGCACACGTGGTCGAAGAACGTCCGGCATCTCTGTTTAAAGTTGTTATATGTAAACGATGCTTAATGTTTGTTTCATTACTGCTGATTTTAGTAACTAGTATTGTTCTAAATTTGTTCTTCCATAATAAGTTTCAAAGTAACGTAGAATGTTTTGTAAATGATACAATGTACAACATTACCCAACATTT